ACAGAGAGGAAGGGAGAGAGATAGAGAGTTAGAAACATCGATGAGAGAGAAACATCGATCAGCCGCCTCCTGCACACCTCCTACTGGGGATGTGCCCACAACCAAGGTACATGCCCTTGACCGGAATCGAACCTGGGACTTTTCAGTCCATAGGCCGACGCTCTAGCCACTGAACCAAACTGGTCAGGGCTCCCCATGATTTTTATAGAGTGGAAGGGAGGGAGAGAGGAAAGAGACATGGATGTGAGAGGCAATGGATTGTTTGCCTCCCGCACTCGCCTCCCTCCCCTCCTCCCTCCTCCCTACCCTAGACAGAACAAACCTGCAATCCACGTACTTGGGAATCAAACCGGAGACCCTTCAGTGGATGGGCTGATGCTCTAACACTGAGCCACACTGGCCAGGGAAAAGCATTTTAAAATTAATAGGGTGTTAATTTTAACATAAGACATATGGACCGGGAATTTCATTCATTAAATCTGAAGTCCATTAAATCGAGATCCACAAGATCAGGGGTTTACTGTACTCAGAGGCAAACTGAAATAAGAAGGCAAGTATGCTCTTTCCCCTATAAAGGAAAGCCTTACTCGAGAGTTTTTGTTAACTTTATTTCTATCTTATTCTATTTGATGCTATTGTGGATGCAACTGTTTTCTTAATTTTATTTTTGGATTATACCTTGCTAGTATATAGAAATGAAATTAATGTATGTGTATGTGTCTGTGTGTGTGATTTCAGTTGATTCTTGTATATTGATCGTATGTCCTATGACTTTGTTAAACTCAATGATTAATTCTAGCAGTTTGTGTGTTTGGTAGATATTCCTTAGGATTTTCTATATATGAGATGATGTCGTCTGTGAATAAAGACAGCTTTACTTATTCCTTTCCAATCTGGATGCCTTTAATTTCCTTTTATTATTCCTTCTTACACTAGTAGGAACATTTAGTAGAGGGTTGAACAGAAGTGGGAAGGACAAATATCCTTGCCTTTTTCCCAGTCTGAGGTAATCTTTCTCCATTAAGTATTATGTTACCTGCAAGATTTTTAAAGATGTCCTTTATCAGGTTGAAAAATCTCCCTTCTTTTTGCAGTTTGTTGAGAACTTTTATAATAAACAGGTATTAGATTTGTTACATGCTCTTTCTGCAATATTGAACCATAATATTTTGGTTATTTTATTAATTATGGTATTATTTTATTAGTTATGGTATATTGAATTAATTGATTTTATTAATTATGGTATATTAAATTAATTGATTTTAATATGTTAAACCAATCTTGCATACTTGAGTGAAATCCCTCTTCGTCGTGTTATGTAAATCATTTTATATGTTCCTAAATTCAATCTGTTACTATGTTAAGGATTTTTATGTCTAAGTTTGTGAGGGATTCTGAACTATAATTTTCTTTTTTTGTGCTGTTTTTACCTGGCTTTTATATCTGGCCTCATAAAATAGGTTAGTACGTGTTCTCTTCTCTATTTCCTGAAAGTGTTTG